TGGACACTTCACTCTCCACTCTAGTCCTCTGTGGCTATGTCACTGACTCTGGGCCCAGGAGTCCCTAGGACTTGCCACACTGCTGGCCAACCAGGTCTCTACCCGGCTTCACAGGAGTCTATTGAATGTGGTCAGACTTAGCTCACAGCTTCACTGTTTTCCCTCAACTTCCACTTATCGGTGACCAATGTGGTCACCAGTCAGACTGCATGCTTGTCAGATGCCTCTTAGAAACCAGGAGCCAGGCTCCTCGCTTCTCCACGTGCTTCAACAAGATACTACTTAGAAAGCTGGTGTCCAGAGCTGGGGTCACTGGTTCTTTTAAACTGAACTCTTATAAAAAGTGAGGTGGTTTTTTTTTTTTTTTTCTGATCACAGTGCCTGGCATGCTGGGCCCTCTGGCAACCTTTTCTCCTGCATATCATTTCACCTCCAAAGTCAAATGGCACCTCCCCTGACAGGACACCTTCCCTGACCACTATATTCAAAGTAATAACTCAGTTACTCCTCCGTGACTCCTCTGATAGAACTCCATCTCCTCCCCACACCCATCTCACCTGTGTCCCAGCCTGGTTTGGCCCAGTCCTATTGTTTCAGAGATAAGTAGTCACTCTCCCCAGACAATACTGAGCTGGTAGCGCCCACAAGATGTGAGCAATAAGAGCAGTGCCTGGCTTCTGTAGTCACAAGGCTGAAGAGGTCTGATGTCTGATCTGAACATGTCTGGGCTGGGCCTGCCTCCGAGAATGCTAAGGGGATGGGAGGCTGGACAGCTGAAGGCCCTGGACCAGTCCTTCCAGGAACACACAGGCACAGTGGAGTTTCCAAGCTCATTTTTCTTTTAATTTCTTACAAAACCACGTATCCCAGCCAAAAAGGACAGTGCAGACCCTCCCTAGGCATTGTGGTTGGAGGGAGGAGGCCCCCATGAATGGGCAGCTGCCAATCCCAGAAGAACCACATGCTCCTCTGCTCAGAGGTCAGTGCGGGGAGGCGGCTTCCGCTGCCGGCTATGCCCTACCCCTCAGCTGCTGGGAGAGAAGGCCAGGCCCTAGGTTCCTGCTGCTCCCAGTGTCTGCAAGGGAAGGAGGGAGAAGAGGGTCTGAGGGGAGGAGGAGGCCAGGGAAAGGGCAGGCCAGGGAGGGGCAGGTCCACAATAACTCACCGAATGTAGAGCGCTATCCAACTGCTATGATGATGCCAATGAGGACAGATAGGATGAGGACAGTAATGGACACGCAGATGAGAATCAGGATTTTCTTCTGCAGGAGAAGAGAGGCTCAGAGACGTTCACTCAGGAGGGTATGGAGGGGCACTTGGACCACAGTGGGGAGAAGCTCACCTTCCGTGCCTTCCTCTGGTTATCCAAGGCCATATTGACGTGCTTGTGCCCACGTTCTACATAGTCCACTGAGCTCAGGATGTTCTTCTCAATCCGGTTGATCATCTCCCCCTACTCAGAGGAGGGGGCAGTTCAGGAGGGTAGAAACGGTGGGGGTGGGGAGACCCAGTAGCTCCTCTGTCTGCCTACCTCAGCCTCAAATGTCTGTAGGCTGTTCCTAGCAGAAGAAACTGTACTGACAAAGAATGGAGGCAGGACCAGATTTGGCCTAAGTCAGGACTCCTAAGGGTGCCTTCCCAGCCCCTCCTTTCTCATGGTCCCTTCTCCCTGCTCCCCATACCACCTCATTTACACTGGTGGCTTAAACTTTTTTTTTTCACAGAGGGGGAACCTGTCTGTGAATCAATCCATTCTTCCAAGCTTGTCTCCCAGCTGCTGTGAAGTCCTTCCCCAGCCCTGTCTCCTCATGGCACCACCAGCCTTCAAGGTCTTGGTACTTCTGCTGAATGAAATCACTTCCCCATGACTCCCAGCTGCAAACAGGCAATGGCTATCACACTCTTGGGGTCAGCTCCTCCAGGACAAGACTGGAAGTAAGCTCACCTCATCCCATACAACCAGGACTAGAGGAAGAACTCGATGCCCCCAACCATGCCCAATTTTAAGAGGTAGGCCATCTAGGGGGTAATTCTGACAGGAGTTCTTGAGGGTCTAAGAGTGAACTCTCTGGTTGGAAGATGAGTTAGGGTTGGGATATATCTGAGGTAGGTTCAAGTTGAGAGATGTGGGGGTGTGGGTTGCCATGTATGAAGGCATGATCATCTTGAGAGGTGTAGTCAAAAGTCATGAAGTGCACACAATTTGAGGGTGGGGTACAGTTAAGGATGGAAGATGCTAGCTGGGGACACTGACTGGGCATAGCCTCATGTCTAGGGAAGGCCCCTCCTGGGGGGTTGGCCAAACATAGAGGAGACCCAAATCCTCAGGAGAGGCTAAAGTTAGAGGTACACTAACAGTCATGGCTGGGGGTTCAGATAAAGCATGCTCTCACTTCTGGAGATGGAATCAACTTGGGGGCAGGGCCAAGTCCAGCCAGCTGCCTGCGCTGCCCACCTGCATCTCCACCTCACTAGACAGAAAAGTGAAGATCTCATGAAGCTCACGGATACTGCGTTCAAGCTGCTGGATCTCACTGTGCCGGGTTGAAATCTCATTTAGGGCTTGCCGGGTCACCTGTGTATCCTTCAGTATCTGGGGGAGTGGATAAAAGTACAGAGGATAGGTCACAGAGATATCAGCTGCAGGTCAGAAGTTCCTGTTTAGCTCTGGGGATAGCCCTGTGACCTAGAACTGAGGCCAGGGCCCTGATGAATGATTCCAGGCAAGCCAATGAAATCTCTTCTGTGCCTCAGTCTTTCCTCTATCAAGAAAGGGCTGGGCTCAGGTAGGACAGGGAGACCCAGGAAGGCTGGCTGTGGCTACTCACATTGGACACGAACACCTCACTCTGCCCACTATCAAGCATCTGCTCCAGCTCCTCATCAGACACCATCCCAGCATTGGCTGTGAAGGAAGAGGCCAGGCTGAGTGGAGGCATCGGGGTACCAGCCCGTCCCCCTCCACACTGAGGCTGGGAACCACAACATACTGATTTTCAGCTGCCTTCGAATCCGCTCCACATTTTTTTCCCGGTAGTCAGACTGCATGGAGTTGCACTTGTTAATGAGTTCCACGAATTGCTGAGATAGGACTCCATGCTGAGGGTAGAGAACATGCGCTGCTGCTTTGGTAGATCCCTGCCTGGTCTGGGCCTCAGCATCCCCAAGGGGACAGTGAGCAAACAGCGGGAGGCAGTGAGGTGCCTGCCACCTTAACTACCATGTGAAAGCCTCAAAAGTCTCCATTTCTCTCAAGAGTAAAAGCTAGAGCTCTTATAGGACCGATATGCTCTGGGGCTCCTGCACATGACCTCAATGACCTCACTCCACGACTGCTGGCCCTTCACTCACTCCCTGCAGCCACAGTGGCACCCGTATTTCTCTATAAGCAAAGCACATATGCATTTCAGGCCTGTTCCTAGCCTAGACTGTATGTTCCCCATAAAGATTTCTAAATGTTTGTTCAAATGTCATCTGAATGGGGCTTTCTCCACCTTATTGAAATTGCAACCCTATCTTCTATCACTTTCAGTCCCTCTTCTCCTGCTCTATTTTCTTTCTCCCTTTAATACTTATAATTTTCTAAAATCATTTACTGTTTATTATGGTGATTGCCTTTCCCCACTAGCATGCAAGCTTTATGAGGGAAAGGCTCTTGGTTTATTTGGTTCACTACTGCTTTCCAAACAACAAGAGTCAGTAGGCACTCAATTAATAGTTGTTAATACTGTCTGCTGTTCATATGCCAAGAAGCCTGGAATTCAGCCGGATACACAGATTTATAGGCCCGTCTAGGCCCTCAGTCTCTCGCACCCTATTCACCACGACGTCTGCTGAAGTCTCCCTCTCTAGACTCCTGTGAGGTTTCTTTGTCCTGTCTTGTCTTCCCCTGATGCCTTCACTGTGTTCATGCTTTGACGTTCCTTCTTCAGAGGCACATTTGTTTTCACGATGGCAAACTTCTCCATCTTCAGTCTAGGGTCTCTGCTGAGCTTGATCACCTACTCCAGCCAGGACCTCAAACAACTCTAATTAGCCCTCTCTGGGCACTCAAAAGGGGCCCATTAGATCAACTCAAAGCTCCTCGCTAAGATGTTGATTCAGTGACCTTTTCCCCAGGGCAGTTCCTCTTCCTGACTTCCTAAATCTGAAGTTGTCCTTGTCATGTGAGTTGGAAATCTCCCAGTCATTTCTGACTTCTTCTCCTTCCCTGGGTAGGGCCATTAGTCACCAAGTCCTAAGTCCTGCTTGTATCTTAACTCGCCACCTCAAATCATGGAAAACATGTCTTCCACAGCTGAGCCTAAATCATATCTGGAGACTTAGCAACTATTAGATGGGTCATCAAAAGACCTGTATTCTTGACCTGGCTGTATCCTTTCTCCCTCTGAGCCTTAGTTTCCTCATGTGAAAACTTACCAGGTTGGATTCGATCTCTAAAGGCCCCTTGTTCTCACTTCTGCCATCTAATGATCTATGAGGCACTTCTGAAATATCCTAGTTCTGAGAACAAGAAACCTACCTGGGTTTTTCTCATCCTTGTGTTGACTGAGTTACAATTCTCATCAGCTTCTTCCTTTTGGGGCTCTATGGCTGTGGAAAGACGCAGAGTATGGGCAGGGTTTGATGTGTCTTCTGAAGACCGTTTGGAGATCAAGACATAGGGCCAGGGCCAAACCCCAGTCACAGAATAGGATGGTTCTTATGTCCATAAAGCTTTTTTTAGGGAAATACGATTTAGCATAAAATGACTAATTTTGGGCCTCCGAGAAGTTTTTCTTTACAATGTATCAGAGAATTCCCACAGGTATGCAGAGGTCTCCTAACAAAACCCTCATCTGCTTGCACAAAGAATGAGCACTAGGAATTGTATGAATCAATGGTTTAACTGTAAATAAAAGAACAGGAGAGTCAGGCATTTGCTATGGAAAGTATGCTGGGCTGGAAGGCAGAGGACCGAGGCTCCAGATCCAGGCTTATTGTGTGAACTGAATATACCACTAGTTTCTTTGAGCCATACTCCCCAGATGCAACAGCAAGTAGGCAGGACAAAAGGGAGGACACCTCTGAAGTTCTAGGAGCTCACCCTTCAGTTGTGTGCGGATTTCCCTCCCCAGCTGTTTGATCTCCTCCCTCAGGTTCTGCAAGTCCTGCTTCATGCCTGAATAAGAAAAGGCCATTACTACTAAACAACAGTACCTACAACAATCCACCCAGTGCACCACCTGCATGAAACTACAACCCCCACAAGCCCACCCGCTGAGCATGCGCTCTGCACCCAAAGTGTCACTCACTTTCCTCGGGAAGGGGTGTGGCCAGGATGGTGACCTGCTGCTTCTCCAACTCTCGGACTTTATTTTCCAGCTGGATAATAGTCTGTCGAATTGTTTTGACCTGGGAGGGTGACATCGAGGGATGAGGGAGATATGGGGGTCCTCCAGACCTCACAGCATGCTCTTCAAGTCTTCCAGTCCTGTCCCTGAGTGAATCCAGGCCGAGACCCCAGCCCTTACCTTCTGAAAGAACTCATCGTCAGGACTCCCCAGCCGGACCGTGCCCGGGTGCACCACCAGCGCGACCCGCTCCTTGTCTTCATCGTCAGAGCTGTCATCTCCCTGCCAGGGCCGGGATCATTGGCACCACTTTCTTGCTGTCGCTCTCGCCCCGCAGAACCTACAGGCTTCCGGGTCTTTCCTTCCTGGCCATCAGCCACCCTTCCCTGCCCCGAGGACCAGAAGTCCTGCATTCCAGCCAAATCCACCCCATTTGCCCGCCCCCAACCCTGATGCCCCGACTTCTCACCTGCCTCAATTCGTGGGTCCTGTCCCGCATGGCGGCCCGAGCTCCCTCTCCCCTGTGCCTGAGACCCGAGGGCCACAAGGATCTAAGTTTGGAATTCTTCTCCACTCACACTCTGACACTCCCCTCCCTCGCCCTAAGGACCCCAACACCTCCACGAGCCACCAGAGGCTCCGTCCCTTGCACCGTCCACAGCCAATGGAAAGGAGTCAGCCTCAGGTACCCCCAAGTATCCACAGGTTGGAATTCCCTCTTCTTCCCCCCCCCAACCCGCTCCCGTAGCCTGAGCCCCGCCCCCTCTAGGAAGATTCGGAGCATGCGTGCAAGGACGTGTCTCTTCCTTGCCCAAGGAAGTGGAGGTCGGAAGCCGTGGCGCCCCGAGCGGAAGCAAAACTGACAGGATGTGCGAACCCGCCCCCTTGACTTGGACCTGCTCATCTTCCAACGGAAATCCAGTTGCCAAAAGGGGTGGGAATGCATCATTTGTACGTCATCTGAGAGGCCCCTTGTCTCATATCACCCCATGGTTCTCCTCTGTGTCACGTGACCGACCCCATCTCTGCAGAACTTGAGGTTTTCAATGTCACGTGTCCCGGCTCCGTGAACGCCGTTTCTGGAACACCCTCCTCCCCACGACTTTCCTGGCTCCCCAGCGACCGAGCTACTCCACAGCCCCCACGAGTTTGGGGGTGGAAGGGACACTGACTACCTCCAGAGAAACCTTTTGAGGCAGTGGGTGGTAGGACCCTTTCTGAATTTATCTTGATGTCTTTTGGGTCCGGGGTGCGAGCAGAGGCTGACAGGATCGTGGGGCCTTCAAAGTCAGAGAATAAAACGACCTGAGTTTTTAGTGTCAAGAGACTTGAAGGGCTTTGTAGGCAGAGAATCTGAGGGTGGGAAGTGACCTCACCCAAGGCAGAATCTTCTCGCCCGCATATTCCTGGCACAGCCTCTGACAGGTGGTGGCCGACAGCCCTGCTTGAACACTGCAGTCCCGCTGCACTCAACACCTTCCAAGAAGCGAGGTCATTTAGGGGCAGCTCAGGTTGAGAAAAGTGTCTGCCCCCCTGCCACTTACACCCCTTATCACTACCTTGCAACTGGTTCTACCCGAGAGTTTACATAAAACGCCCACTTTCAACATTACAGTGAGCATGACACCTTGTTCTTAACTGACTCCCCATAGCCTACTTCAGTACGGAGTACATACTGGGCTCTCTGTAAATATTGTTGACAGAATTTTAGCCTTTTACATATCTGAAAATTTAGCTCGTTGTTCTTTTCTCCTTTAGGCTTCGGGCTCTGTGCTGTGGCAGTTTCCTAGCCCTGTAGATATTCATTCATTCAACAAATATTTATAGTGCCAAACATTACTTCAGGGGCTGGGGATACATCAAGGACAAACCTACAAACCCCCCTGCACTAATGGATCTTACATTCTATTGGAGAAGTACCCAATGCCACCCAGTGAATCTCACTCAGCACAGTCAGAAGTGGATTTCAGGTTTCCTGGATCACAGGGCTCTTTCTAGTGAATTTATGTGAAGTTCAAACAAGGGAAGAAAAGGCCTCTCTCTCACATACCTGGGTCAGAAACTAAACTCCTGTCACTGAGTTATTACAGACTTCTGGAAAGTCACTTAAAAATAAAATAAAAATTTTTTAATTTTTATTGTCAGTTGAGTGAAGGTTTCCAAAATAACATCATTACTATTGGACTCCTGGTGTGGTGCTGTAGGATAAGCACTGGACTATGAACTACTAGGTTGGTGGTTCAAACCTACCAGATGCACCTTGTAAACCCTTTATACAGGGTAACTATGAATCGGAGCTCTGGTAGCTAGTGGTTATGAGTCAGGCTGCCAACCTCAAGGTCAGCAGTTCGAAACTACCAGTGGTTTTGCGGGAGAAAGATGAGGCTTTCTGCTCCCATAAAGATTTACAGCCTCGGAAACCCAATTCAGGGTCACTATGAGTTGGAACCACCTCCAAGGCACATAACCCCCACCACCATGAGTCAGAAACGACTCAACAGCACTTAACAGTAACAACAATCCTCTAGCCAGTGAATAATTTTCCCTTCCCGTCCACCTCTGGTAACTGTCATTAGAATGCTTCTTCTAGCATGAAAACCTTTTCTTAAAAAACAGTGCAACAGTGGTCTCATACAATGTTTGTCCTTTTGTGATTGTGTAATTTCACTCAGCAAAATGTCCTCATAACAAATGGTTCATCCATACTATGAGGTGTTTGACAGATTCTTCATTATTCTTCAACACTGTGGTAATATTCCATTATACTAAGTTGGTTTGACCATTCTTATGTTGACTATTTAGGCTGTCTCCATACTTTTGGTATTGTGAATAGCGCTGAAGTGAAAATAGGTGTGCATATATCTACGTGCGTCATGCCTCTCATTTCTTGAAGAATATACCAAGTAGAAGGATTACTGGGTCATACAGTATTTCTATTTCCAACTTTTTGAGGAAGCACCATACTGTTTGCCTCAGTAGTTGCACCATTTTACAGTCCCACCAGCAGTGTAGGGGGGTTCTAGTCTCTCCACACCCTCACCTGCATTTGTTGTTTTCTGTTTTATTTGAAAACTTTTTATTGTGAATTGAGTGAAGGTTTTCAGAGCAAGTCATCAACTTTAGATTCAACAAATCATATACTTTTCTTCATTACATGCTTGCAATCCCCTCCATGTATCAACATTTAACAGTGTGGTAGTGTAGTGGTTATGAATCGGTCTGCGAACCGAAAGGTCAGCAGTTTGAAACTACCAGCTGCTCTGCGGGAGAAAGAGGAGGCTTTCTGCTCCTGTAAAGATTTACAGACTCGGAAACCCTGTACAGGGTCGCTATGGGTTGGAACCGACTTGACGGTACTTAACAACAACAACAACAACCTCTGCTCACTTCAACTACTGCATTCCTCCCTGTGTCTTCCGCTACCTTCATCTTTCTTCTAACGTCCCTCTTGTATATTGCCTGCCCTGTTACCCATGTTAATACGTGTTTACTCTCGATCCCATGAATATTTTATCCTTCTTGGCTCTCCTCCACCCCATAACCATCATAGATTATTTCTTTTATCAGGAAAACCTTTTATTTATTTATTTAGCTTTTTACAACATTGGTCTCATGCAATGTTTGTCCTTTTGTGATTGACTAATTTCACTCAGCAAGGAGCTCTGGTAGTGTGGTGGTGGTGACTGTGTGCCGTGGAGTCGGTTCCGACTCATAGCGACCCTGTACAGGGTTTCCGAGGCTGTAATTCTTTACGGGAGCAGAACGCCTCATCTTTCTCCCGTGGAACAGCTGGTAGTTTTGAACTGCTGACCTTACGGTTCGCAGCGATTGGTAACCACTACGCTAATCAGGCTGCTAACCTTAAGGTAGGCAGTTTGAAACTACCAGCTGTTCTGTGGAAGAAAGATGAGGCTTTCTGCTGCCATAAAGACATGCAGCCTGGAAAACCCTGTGCAGGGTCACTATGAGTCAGAACCAACTCCACGGTAGTTAAAAACAATGTCCTCCAGGGTCAATCATATGAGGTGTTTCACAAATTCATCATTGTTCTTTCATATTATTGTATTCCATTGTGTGTATGTACCAAGTTGGTTTTTTTTAAGGTTTTTATTGTGGATTAAGTGAAAGTTTACAGGGCACATCATCAGTTTCACATTCAGCCATTCATATGACTTGTTTCATTACATTGATTACAATCCCCTCCATACATCATCAGTCAACAGTGTTTCTCTCTATCCTCTTTGGCTTTTCTCCTTTTTTGGGGGGGTGGGGTGGGGGAAAAACTTTGCCTTTTCGGAATTTATATTCTCTGCTTTTAGGGAAGGTTTTTACATTTATCTGTGGATATCCAGGGCTCATGTATGCGATTACTAACAAGCATACCTGAATAATCAGATGAAGGACAGTTTGCTATGTCTGCTAGGTGGCTAAAGTCTGATCCTCAGAGCCTATGGTTTGGATGGTGTACCAAGTTTTTTTTAACCCTTCTTCTGCTGATGGACATTCAAGGCTGACTCCATCTTTTTTATATGATGAAACATATTGAAGGATCCTGTTTTCTTATCCATTCTGCTATTTGTCTCTTGACTGGGACATTTAGTCCATTTACATTCAGTGTAATTATCAGTATGTATGAATTGGTCATTGTCATTTTTCTGTGTGTGTGTTTTTTGTTTGTTTGTTTTGTGTGTGTGTGTGTGGTGCTGCGTTTGTTTGTTTGTTTGTTGTTGTTGTTGTGATGCAACTGGATTCTTTGTTCCTCAAATTTTCTATGCTGAGTTCACTTTGTGGCTTTTCTTGTCATTTTCATTTCTGTTGTGTTAATGTTTACTAAATCTTTCTGATTTCCCACTTTTTTAATTTTGACGCACAGGTGTATATTTTTCTGAGGTTACGCTGTAGTGTATTAATTTTTTCCCTGCTTAAAACAGTCTGTTTCATCTTGTAATCTACTTGACTTCCTTGCCATCTGGAAGTTCTGGATCTACACTATTTATTCCCTCTTGTTGCTTGTAGTTGACTTCATTACACATTGATATATCTAGTTCCCTATTTTCAGTCTTGTAAGTTTGTTTTACTATAAATATGTCTATATCTGGGCTGAGTTCTGGGTGGTGTTGTCATGCATGGTAATCTCAGGTTGTTGTCTGCTGTTATTCATTCTTAGTCCAAAGAAAACCCTTTAGCATTTTTTGTAAAGTTGGTCTGGTCATTACAAATTAATTTAATTTCTGCTTTTTAAGAGATGTCCTAATTTCACCATCGTATTTGAGGGCTAGCTTTGCTGGGTGCATCATTCTTGATTGGCAATCTTTTTCTTTCAGAGTTTTGTATATGTCAAGTTATCCCATTGCCTACTTATCTGTATGATTTCTTCTGAGAAATCATGATGTATGTTGAGAAATTGGTTCTCCTTTTAGGTAACTTTTTGTTTTTCCTGAACTACTTTCAGGATTCTTTCCTTTTCTTTGATTTTAGAAAGTTTAATTATGACATACCTTGGTGATTGGGTGGGGGTGGGGAGTGGCGATCTATCCTGTTTGGGGTTCATTCAGTTTCTATTAATCTTATCTTCTTGTCTTTCATGATGTTAGGGACATTTTCTTCCAACACCTCTTCAACAATTTTCTCTGTACTTGTCTCTCTGTTCTGGAATTCCGTTAGCCGTAAATTATTCCTCATCATGGTGTCCCACATAGCTCTTAGGCTTTCTTCTGATTTTTTCTGGTTTTTCTTTTAGCATACTAGTATTGACAGCTTTAT